GACTCATATAAATTCTGAAAATTTCAAATTGAAAAACACCTCCAATAATTTTCAAAATAATCATTCAATCAAATTCACTATTTTTCAAATATTTTCAAATATTTCAAAAAATGTTCATACTGTTCATACCATTTCATATCCATAATTCTTGAACACTTGTATTGATATTGAAAAGTGAATTTTGATCAAAAGGAGAAGATCAATCATTGTATTGATATTATTATTATATCACTCTCAAATCAAATTACAAAATTATTTCTATTGTGACTTGTGATCCAGGATTGTTGGACACAAGGGTTAGTGCTTGCAAGAGGATTGTTCTTGCACACTAAGTTGTTGAAATAGTTGTTAGATAGTAGGCCTCACCGGTTGATGGTGTGATAAGTTGTACATTCTAAAACTATAGTGAAAACTCTCTTTCATGTGGAAAGGGGAGTGGAGTACCTTCGAATTGTGAAGGGAACCACTATAAATCTCTGTGTCCATTTTCATTCTGCTTTTTACTGCTTTCATCATCAAAAACATAACCGAGTAAAATTCAAGAATATCGAAAAACCGGAAAAAGTTTCTAAAGTCTAATTCACCCCCCCCCCCCCCCCCCTCTTAGACATACTCTGAACTTACACATATTTGAGTAAATTCAGTGGATATCCTAAAGACTGCATTTATAACTTGTTACGGTCACTATGAGTATTCAGTGATTTTGTTCGATGTGTATAATGCGCCAAAAGTATTCATGGAATGCATGAACAAGATTTTTCATCCTTACTTGGATCATTTTGTGGTCATATTCATAGACGACATTTTGGTGTATTCTAAGTTAGACGATGAACATGCAAGACATCTGCGAGTTATGTTACAGCCTTGCAAGAGAAGAAGTTATACTCTAACTTATCCAAGTGTGAGTTCTAGTGGCAAGAAGTGAGTTTCCTTGATCATGTAATATCTAGTGGTGGAATAAGAGTTTTTATGTCTAAGGTAGACACAGTGTTGTAGTGGGAGACTCCTAAATCAGTTACTGAGATCAGAAGCTTTTTGGGTTTGACTAGTTATTATATAAGGTTTATAGATGGATTTTTAATGTTGGCTTTGGCCTTTAACTTAGTTGACCCAAAAGAGGAAAACTTATGTGTGGAATTTTCAATGTGAATAAAGTTTTCAAGAGCTGAAGAAGAGGTTGACGTTAGTGCTAGTTATGATCTTACCAAATGTGAAAGAATCTTTTGTTGTGTATTATGATGCATCTAAGACGGGCTTAAGTGGTATGCTTATGCATAATGGTCAGGTTGTGGCATATGCTTCGAGACAACTTAACAAATATGAGAGGAATTATCTTATCCATGATTTGGAGTTGGCAGCAGTAGTCTTCATTCTTAAAGTTTGGAGACATTATCTGTATGGTTCGAGGTTTGAAGTTTTCAGTGATCATAAAAGTCTGAAGTATATGTTTGATCAGAAGGCTTTGGATTATCTATTTTTAAGAAGGCTTCTTTCCACTTAGAGAGCAAGAACATGAATGAAGCATCAAGCTCTTATTCAAATAGGTATTAAATACTGGATTCACCATTAGACTTACATCAACCAGAATAAGTCATCACAATGTTAACAGTTTCTTCCTCACTTTCAAAATCACACAAAGTGGCGGAAATACCATTTTTCAGTTTCTTTAGAAAGGTATGAAATTATGCTTTAATGTGTCTAAATCCTTCGCACTCAAGGCATTGAGTACCCTTTTCACCATTAAGTTTATCTTCACTCCTTCCTTTGATTTGGGGAATGACGTTGGACCTCCTTTCTTAAACATCTGTCATCCACTTTCTGTCAAGATATTTCAAGGAATTGTTGAATTTTCCCCCAATAAGTTTTATATCATTTTCCAAGCTCTCTTCTTTATCACATTGAACCCCAACTTCCTCAGTGTTGGAAACAAAAGATATACCTTTCTTCTTATTCTCTGACCTATCATTGACAGACATCTTAAAAGTTTGCAGGGAACCAATGAGTTCATCAACCTTTATATTGCTTAGGTACTGAGTTTCTTCAATAATAGTCATTATCATATCAAACCTCTTAGGAATGATTTGACAATTTTTACGGCAAGCTTTTATTCAAACATCTTTTCACATAGAGCAAAAGAGGTGTTGACAATATCATGCAATCTGATGTGGAATTCACAAATTGATTCTTCTTTATTCATCCTTAAATTCACAATCTTAGCGGTAAGTTGTTGCAGCCTTGACACACAAACTTTGTATGTGCCTTCATGTGCAATTTTGAGAATCTCTCGAGCTTTTTTAGCTTTTGAAGATGTATTGTTTAATCTGAACTTGTTCTTGTCAACACCATTTAAGATAGTGTTCAAACCCTTGGAGTTTCCAATAGCTTCCTCATCTTCAGAATTAGTCCATTCAAATTTTGGTTTTAAGCTCGTAGTTCCATCTTTATAATTGATCACTGGATGTTTCCATCCTTTTATGATAACTTTCCACGCTTTTTTATCCATGGATTTGAGAAAGACCAACATCATTGTCTTCCAATAAACATAATTTGTACCATCCAAGATAGGTGGTTCGTTGAATGATCCTCTATCTTTCATTGTCTCTATTTGAGCAAAATTTATCTTCCATGGAGCTCATCCAACATGCTATGGTTCCCACCCTGATTCCAATTAAAATTTTGTTCCTCAGGGAACAGATGTCGAACACGATGTTTTAGAAAAGAAGTTCCACGTGATAAACCATAACCTTGACAGATTAAGAGTACAAGATAATGGAGCAGAAAATCAATAAAGAACACAATAATTTGGTAACCCAAATCGATGCAACAACACATACGTCTGGAGGATTGACTTCCAACCCAATAAAGGAAACTCATTATTAGTAGCTCAGTATAATTAGTCTTACAAGTAACAAGAAACCCTATGTTGTTTAATGCCTTTTTCTAACACTATCCAATGAATTTCTATTTAGGACTCCCCATAAATATGAGAAACTCTCTCACTTTCTCTCAATCACTAAACCCTAATTATTGGTGTTTAACCCAATTATCAATGTCGAATATTACAACTCAACTAGACCAACCTTCTACATCAAGTTAATGAAACATAGAGGTGTACATAAAGATGTTGAATATACAACTCAACTAGACAAAACTTTTATACCAAGTTACTGAAACATAGAGGTGTACATAAAATAACAAAGACTCTTATAAATCCTAACACTCTAAAATCTTCAATATGAATGATTGTTTTCCAATGTAGGGTTGAGTTCCTTATATAGCATAACAACTCTGGGATTTTCTCTTTCGATAATAGTTTTAATTTCGTTCAAAATTAATGCAGAATATGTTGGATATAATTTGTTTTATAGGTCTCTCCAACAAGATATGGTTTGTTTCAACTTAAATTCAAATTCAAATTTTCATTTAAATTTGAATCAGTCTTCATCCAGCTGTCAAAAAAATCACCTAATCAAAACTGCAAATCTAACAATAACACACTCCAACGCAACTCTACAAATTGTTTATTACTTAAAAACCCTCATGCAACTGGCCTGTTATTTAAAACTGCATCCAACTTAACTATCGACTTGTTTATTAATGCGGACTGGGGTTCTTGCAAACTTACACGAAGATCCACAACAGGATTCTGTTTCTATCTAGCATCTCTTTTGATAAACTGAAAATCAAAAAAACGCAAGTGATGTCTCATTCTTATTTAAAAGCAGAATACGGCGCTCTCGCCAACACAACTTGCAAAGCACAATGGCTTATTCATCTGCTCTGAGACTTCTATTCCCTTCACCCTCGACCAATCACAATTTGTGACAATCAAATTGCCATTTACATTGTCAAAATTTCAGTCTTCCACGAGCGTAGAAATATATTGAGATGGATTGTCATCTCGTTCGTGACAAAGTCAAAGATCAAGTTGTACATCTTCAACTGATCAACTCCAAAGATCAAGGGACAGACCTCTTTACAAAACCACTACATCTCAAACTTTTATCTCCTCTAATTTTCAACCTCCTTTTCATACACACTAGTTTCATCAGGGCGTTAAAATATAATCTCCCCTAAATATTACAATTGTAACAACTCCTTTATAATAATTCTGTTACCTATTATTAAGTTAGATGGTTAGAAAATTAGTGCGTGATTGTGTGAAGACTCTTCTATAATAATTGATTTTCAGATTTTAAATTATTTCCATTTTAATTTTTAAGTTGTATTGTAATGATAATATCATACAACATAACACTTTTCACAAGTTTCAGAATTTTTACATCTAATCATTCTTTAAAACGTTCATGATAAAAATAGAAAACAAGATCATCATAGAAAAACAAAAGTAAGACTTCTCTGTCTCTAACCCTCGACCAATCACAATATTTTTTGATGCTAGATCATCAAAACAATAATTTTCTGATGCTAAACTCATATGATCTTCAATTAATTATTGTCCGAAAGTTCACCAATATCAAATTACTATCTAAATTTTGCTAGTACTTTTCTAGAGTAAAATTCAACACTATGTAATTATCAATAACTTGATCCTTTTTTCTTGATAGTCACTAAATGAATATTTTCATTCATAACCTTCAAATGAGACTTTGTTTCACTTGATCCCTGGAGATTAACATTGACAGAGCATTTGGCTGGATCATTTCTCATGTGATAATCATCTATGTTAGTTAACTTCTCAAGTTATATTATGTTAGTATTATTCATACTTATAACCATTAAAACATATATGGAGATATATGGGATGTAGCTCAGATGGTAGAGCGATTGGCTGCATCTCCAATTCTTTTATTTCCTTCTTTTGAGTTTATAAATTTTCAAACATGAAACAAATTTATGATTAAGTACAATAGTGTGAATGAAATCAAACATGAAACAAATTTATGATTAAGTACAATAGTGTGAATGAAATGTGGATGGCAATCACAAGTCACGCCATACATAGGAAAGCTAATACTAAGAATACATCACATAGAGATTTATCCTTTAACAGTAAAGAGAGTAGAGATCCAGGATGTAGATTTGTGTTCATGAGGTAGAGTTTCCCATAACTTCATAAAAGTAGGATCCTTTGAGAACACATCATTGGTTAGGTCTCTTTTATCAGTCCACTTTTTGATATCATGCTCAAGTTTGAGAACCCTTTCCTTGACATCTTCAAAAGGTTTATTGTTACTAATCCAGCTGCAAAGCTCCTCCACCTCAGCCCAAAAACTGGATTCTGTGATATCTTCTTTTGGCAGCCTGTTAGCATGTTCCAACCATCTCTGAGTGTACTTATACCTCTTTGGCCTACCCTTGTTCATGTAAGGACCCGTGTCCTCATTCTTCAAATGACGGTAATAATTCGCAATATCTAGAGGCTCAACAAGACGACGGAACCTGGTTCCAAGTTCAATCCATTCTTTTTTTCCTTCAAATTCGTCTGGCAGTTCATACCTCTTCAGCATTTCAATGATCTCATCCCATACTCCTGCAAGCACTAGCCTCTTCACGTTGGCTTGAAAATCCTTTGTCTCCTTTTGCACCTTGAAGGCATCGTAATAACCTTTTCCCTTGTTTATCTCACATGTTGCTTTGTACTCTTCCAAATACCTCATGCTTGCCACAGCCTTTTCTTGAACCTCCTTTTTTATTTTCTCCTCATTTCTTTCTTTTTGCTTTTCTAACTCACCCGCTGCTCTAAGGCACAGCCGTGCTCTTACGCTCTGATAACAGTTTCAGCAAAAACAAATCATCTCACTCTCACACACCAACATATTTGCAGTCTAACTTTATACTCGAAATATAAGATCAGTTATATTGAAAGACATGTCTAATGCGAGCAGGTTATTGTAAGAGAAGTTATTCGTGACCATACCATCTCGTAAATGGATGGCCAATATTAACTTCTTTCGCAATAACATGCTCTAACCAAGATTTTAAATCAAGGTCCAGAGTCACCTCGTGACGCAATCACAATTTCAGTTGTAGTGCAGTCACTACGACTAAATAAAAACTATGACATCGCAGCCACAATCATATTTATTGAAACCTTGCCTCTAACTTAATATGACTTCTATAGATATATAGAGAAAGCAAAAGAAAAAATTACTGACCAGTCCAAGGCTATCCAAGGCGGCTGCAATATCGGTATTAGGAACATCACCAGAAGACAAGGGAAGGTCATCAAGTTTGTTTAAGTACACCACATTTTGCATTCCCAAACTCTCCTCTAATTCAGCTTCATAGGCTAGATGTTGCAATATGCTTTTGTTGGCAACTTCAGAAAGTTGTGTCAAATCTTTTAGCTGAGCAATATGAAACATGAGTTGTAAAACGGCGTTCGAGTTATTTACTACAATCAACTGGCCATTACCATTGCAGAAAATGTAAGTTCCAAAGGGTCTATAAGGGCTTAACTCGACAAAATTTGTCATAGTTTCGAGCAACAAATTTGTGCTTCCCATTAGCTTACAAGCAACATGCCTTGTAACAGTTGCTGCATTCCTCATCACAGTGGAGTAAAATTCAGAACTCACACTGTCTCTTATTGAATCCTGACATTTGAAGTTGTTGTCGTCAGGAGTCAAAAGCTGAAGAACAGGACTGAAAAGTTTTTCAATACAAGAGAAAGGAGCAAGAAAAATCCTTGGCACTATGTCATATCTCATGACAAAGTGCACGAAGCGACGAGACCAGTTTTGTCGGTTTGAAGCATGAGAGAGTATATGATTACCAACCAAAGGAGAACCAAAAGTGACACACATGGGTGACTTGTGCTGAATTTGGTTAAAATTCTCTTCCAAGGCCCAAAATGTTGCAAGAATGGCCAAAACAGCCCCTGAAGAGTGACCTGTAAACACTACTTGCTTCCCTTCTGCCACACCTCTCTTCACCTGCAATACAACACAAAAACTTGACATCAAATTATAAGGCCAGTTCAAAAACAGTTTCATTTCATCGTATCGAGTACCTCACCTCGGATATAATTGAGGAAAATTTGAATAAGCTGTCGAATCTGTTTAAGAAAGCTTGGTTTACCAAAGCAATTTCATCATTGCCAACACTTTTAAGTAAAGGAAAGTGACCAAGATCTATCTTAGTTTCTCCAACAGGTTTTGTAACAAACCAGTCAGTTTCCACCCACGATCCAGGAAAGCTTATAACAAGATATGCTGCTGAGTCCGAGGATGTCTTAAAATTTTCAGAAAGATAAGGTTCCTTTGGTGACTTGTGAGCTTTGAAAGACAAACTACATGACTTCTTGATAACCTCTTCATTCAATCCTATGTTATCTCCAACTAACCCTCCAACCATGTTTAGATCTGATTCATTGGTTTCTCATTATCATAATCATGTAAATATAAAGGCCAGTGGAGGAAGGAAATGGAAATTATTGAGTTGACCAAGACTCAAGTTTACTGCATTTTCACAGAAGTTTGCTTGCAATTGTTTGATTATTTAATTGGTAATTACGGTGGAAATTGGAATGAATGGTGATGGGTGAAATTACTTAGATGATGCCAATCTTTTAAGTGGGCTCCATAACAAATATGCTTTTTTTTCCGCTCCAATCAAAGCATGGCTTGTAAATTGTAATTTAATCTCCTAAAGCATCATGTATGAAGAAATTCTTTTTCTTTTCTTTTTTTAAATATTGTGGGCACTACATATACAAGTACTCAATCATAAGAACTTTTTTGAGAAAGATATTTCAAAACATAAACATGATAAACTCTTTCTAGTAGGATTATGATAAAGGGGTACAAAAGGTGCGAAGACTATATGGATGGGTAGAAGAAATAACCTGAAATGAGAAGTGTTTTAAGTTAACCAAAGGTGCAGATAAATCAAAATTATTTTAAATGTCATTCTTATATAAGAGTGACTTTGGGTCGTGTCCAGGAACAATTCTTATTTACACTTGCAACAATTTTACCACTCTCAAACACTAATTTGAACGTTAGAGTATTTTGTGTTGAGTGCAAGTGTGAGTGGTTATTGTCTATATTGTCTATGAATGGGTAAAATGTTAGATTTATAAGAGAGATGATTCATTTACTTGACACCTTAAAGTTTTGGGTTGAGATGTGACATTCCTCTCTTGTGGTCCGGAAGTATTAGTCTCATTGGTGTTCCCGAGTCTCCTAGACTCCCCTACTCTGGTATCAGAGTCGTGGTTCGGCTTGGTTGGGGAGCCGAAGTCGAATCCGGTGTTGTATCCTGTTATAGGATGTGGGGGACTTGCATTTGTGGGGAGAATGTTGGGTGCAAATGTGAGTGGTTATTGTCTATAGTGTCTATGAATGGGTGAAATGTTGGATTTATAAGAGATATAACTCATTTACCTAACACCTTAAAATTTTGGGTTGAGATGTGAGGTCTCCCTCTCTTGTGATCCTGGAGCATTAGTTTCAATGGTGCTCTCGATTCTCCTAGACTCTCCAACTCTGGTATTTGATAAAGAGTATCATGGTCGGTGTCAGGTTCATAAGATATCATGGACGGTACTAGAGCAAGTGAAGAGTATCATGGATGGCGCCAGAGCCAAAAGGTATCATGGATGATACCAGAGCAAGAAAAGAGCCATGGACGGTGCCCGGGCAATAAAGGTATCGTGGACAGTGCCGTAGCAGAAGAGGTATCATGGACAGCGCCAAAGTAAAACTTTTATTAAGGATTTCTTCGAGAAGAACGAAGTAAAAAAGATAGGTTGAAGAACGTGATGTCTTCATTGGGGATGACCGTTGTCACATGAGATGACTGCCTACTAGAGAATAGGTTTCAAGACGAGGTTCCATAAAAGCGCGAATGCCGGGGAAGTTTGAAAAATAAGTCCCTGTTGTTTGCGGTGAAAATTTGCAGAACAAATGCAAGTTTATATTAATACTTAAGGATCAAACTCGAAAATCTTTCCGAGATATTTGTGTGTCGTTTTTGATCGAAAATAGGGGTGTTCGTCGAAGTCAACACAAACTTCTGAAACGACGTCGTGATAAAGAAACATGACTGAAATGCAAGGCAAGTGCGAACGAAATGCGAGATAAAACGAAGTAAAGTGCTTGTGTAGAAAGGTAAAGTACAGTAAGATAAATGACTGAAAGTTAAAGGACTTTTAAAATAAAGTGCAAAAAAGTAAAGTTTGCTGAAAAGATAAAGGCAGTCGAAAATAAAGTGCGGGAAACGTAGAGGCAATCGAAAGTAAAAAAGGGTTAAAATGCATAAAAACACGACGTTTTAAGATAAAAATGTTGTGATGTATTAAATCGATGAAACACATATGTACATTTTCCTCACTCGTTTCTCACAGCGCAGAAACTTTGAGTGTAGCAGATATGTGTACAGTTTGCGGACCTTTTACAAAATAAACCTAAGTTACTATATATACAAGTCTAAAATTATTGTACAAGACTAAAAACTATTCCCGTGATGACACGTCTTCAAATCATGTAGCGGTTTTTTCCCTTGACGTGCCCACGTTATGAGTAACCGTCGACGCATATGCAATAGTTCCCGCCTTGCTTGTTCCTTTGAATCTTTTAACTGCTCTGTTGGCGCTAAGTACTAATAACCCTCGTTAAATCTTCTGTGGATATATTAAAATAACATACTTCGACATGTTGCTCTCCATCGTAGTGAACTCTACACTTAGCCAATATGACCTAGTATTCCATTTCACTAAGTGTTACCGTAGCATGGTGTTAATTCACTAAGTCTCCATGCTTTTCGACAACACCACTTTCGACCAGCATCACTATAGGTAACCCTAGACCTTGAGTCATATTAATCATGCTAACTCTACTTTTTGTCTTCCAGGTGGCATATTCATGGCTAGCCTCGTGAATACTTGTCATTCATAGTTAGGTCGAAAAATTCAGTGTAGCACTCGTAAGGACTTGTTGAGGGGATTGTATATCACTAAGGCATACTAGGGGTGGAAATGATCGACTAATCCAACAGCTTGCAATGGTAGGCTGGTCGCCAAGTGATATATGTTTTTTAGAATAATCTTCTAAAGAAGTTCCACCGGGATAAGACTACTGCTGAGGTTCCTTATGGAAGATTCAAAAGAAACTCACTAAGAAAACTACTGCCGAGACTCACTAGTAGACACTTACTGTCGAGGTTTACACATGGAAAATATCTTCTTCCGATGTTTACTGGGAAATGTATTATCGAGATTTACTAGGAAATCTACTGCCGAGATTCTGTTGGGGAAAATATACCTCCTGTCGAGCTTTAATTAGGAAATCTACTGCCGGTATTTTCCAGTTGTCATGCCCCAATTTTATCCTACCTAAATCGTATCACATTCATCTACATTCATATAACCATTTCATTCAGTTATATCCTTTTTCATGTACATAGATTCAGTCATGCGACTAACACTGTGATTATGATCAATGCAAACTTTTTCAGTAAAATATCAGCTGCATCATGATATCGTGACCATCTCATTTAGTCAAGAACGATCATAACCATCCATTAATGTGCATTAGTTCAATTAGTGAAAGATGAAATGAAATGAGAAAAAAAATCAAAAATTAGATCTCTTTGGATCATATTACATTGTCCCCTAACACTTTCATTTGTTCACAAATCCTTAGAGATCGAAATCATTTAAGGTTCAGAAGTGCAAATTTTTGTATTTATTTTAATCATACGCCTTTGGTCATTTGATTTTTAATCATAAGCCTTAATTATTATCAAATAACTTTTATTAAATAATTTTCAAATAAAATAAATAATTTATTCTATAAAAAGTATTTAAAAATAAATTATCCTAGTCATATTTTTCACGTCATTAAAAATTATTAAAAATAAATTTTATGTCATTGCCATAGCTGTCACCTATCATCGATGAAATTTTAAGAGATATAAAATATAAGAGTCAAAAAATTAATTTTTAAAATGATAAGACTAAAAAATAAAAAACATTAAAAATACGTTTAAGTCTATTTTTTTTATTTATTCATCGTGAGTTTCATCTAATCTTACAAAAAGTTGAAATTATCGATTTGTAAAGAATATGAAAATTCTTCGAAAATGAATTTGTAAAAAATATGTCGAAAGATACTTTATGTATAATTGCAAGTATATTTCACCTCAAATTCAAAGAGTTTTATCCATTAAAAAATTATCTAATTGCTTTCTTGATTATCTAAATTCACCAACGCAAGATTGAAAACTCAACTAATGCACAATTTGAAGTTCTAAGATATCGTCGGTTATTCATATTTTCATAACTTCAATCCAACTTCGTACTTGAATAAAATTCTTAATTTCCCATCTTGATTCAACAAATTTTTATAAACTTTCATACTATTGATGTATGGTGATTGGTGAACAAGAACCATTTCCTATATACTTTTCATTTTTAGCTTTCTTTCCATAGATGTATTTGGTCTTTTACTAACGATAACATGAAAAGTAAAGTGAATATTCCACCTATTTATTTAGTTACCCAAATTCGTGGAAGAACTAAACAAAGCCACCGTTGACACGAATAATTTGACCATTGATCCATTCGGAAGAATCCGTGGCTAAAAATCCAACAACAGGTGAAATATCTTTGGTCTCACCAATTCTACCAAAAGGATTACCTTCCGCAATCATCTTCACCGTCTCCTCCGTCTTCCCTTCCAAGAACAACTCCGTCGCGACAGGTCCCGGCGCCACGCAATTCGCGGTAATCCCCGTCCCCTTCAGCTCCTTCGCTAGAATCTTTGTCATCGCTTCCACCGCCGCCTTTGATGCCGTGTACGCGCCGTAACCTGGCTTAAAAGCTGCTGCTAACGACGTCGTCAGAAGAACGATTCTCCCTCCGCCGCCGCGTTTTAGCCTGTTCGCGGCTTCTCTCGCACAGAGAAACGCTCCTTTTGCGTTCACGTTCATGACGCGGTCGAAGGATTCATCTGTTGTGTTTGCTATGCTTGGTAACTTCCCGTCGGCGATGCCGGCTGAGTTGACGAGAATGTGAACTGGCGAGTTGAAGGCTTTTTCAGCGGAGTCGAAGAGAGACTTAACGCCGTCCGGATCTGACACGTCGGCGCGGACGGTTATGGCTCGTGAAGTGGCTTGGTTTGCGTTGATCTGAGCTGCGACTGAGTCGGCGAGGCCGGAGTTTGAGGTGTAGTTGATGACGAGTTTGGCGCCGAGTGAAGCTAGGTGAAGCGCGATGTCTTTGCCGATCCCGCGGGAGGAGCCGGTGACGATTGCGACTCTGTCTTGAAGTGGTGCTGATTGGGGAAGTGAAGTAGCCATGGCGATTTATGTGGTGACTGAATATTATGCAAGAGGGATCTTATTTATTCTGG